GGGGGAGGCCAATGATCCTTTAAATAGGGTGCAATACCCTGTAATTTAGGGTTTCATCTGGCAGCTCCTACTTGTCGAGTCTCTTCTTGGACTCGGCGAGTAGCTCACTAAAACACGTGGACCAACACTCTACTACTTGACGATTAGGGAAACCAACTTGTTGAGTAAACCTTGAAATCAAGAAAATTCTTATATAAATGAATACCTGAGAATCGGGGTGTTACATTAAGCCTCATTTTCCCTCACCTCTCTAGCCTTTATTTCCTTTGAGGCATTTTTGCAAACCCTTTCCCTTTGAGTGTGTATTTTGAGCTTAAATGTGTATTCTTGGTGTTAAAGGAGGAAATAATTTACATTGAGGAGCCTTTGGTGTGGAAGCAAGCTTGTGGATCTGAGGTTTTTACCTTCTTGAGAAGCTCCAGAAAGTATAAAGTTCATTGCTTGATAGCTTATTAGCTAGATCTCATTCTTAGGTGTTCTATGTTACTTTTGGTCACAAAAGTCCCATTTTTTGTATATGGTTTGTTCTTGTCATCTTGAGTTGTCCTTTCATATCCTCAAGGGGTCCTAAGCTATAAAAATGAAGTCCCAATCGTTAGAATTGCTTCATGCATCTTGTAGAAGGTCTTAATGGATTATGACCTTGTGTTAAGCACTTTTTGGGCTTGTAGAGTCATAAATCTGGAAACTTTATGACTTAGAGTGCATTTGGACCGTAGAGCTGAAATATGGACTTAAGTGCTTAACCCATTAAGCATGCATTGGAGTTTTGAGTTTGCGATGGAATGCCCCGCATACATAGGATTACGCCCTACGTACTCAGTCTACCACCCTGACGAGTAGTCAACTACAAGGCTTGCGTACACCATGTGTACTAGACTATCCCTCGCGTTCTCGCACTGAGTCAGCCTTATTGAGTTGACTCGGTTAAGTTAAACCGTTGCGTTGACTTAGTTGATTTAGTGGGTTGAATCAGTTGACTTAGTGGGTTTGACCAATTGACTTTGACCAAGTTTAACCTTGGGGGTATTTTGGGTATTTCGGGGATTTTGATGGAATTGGTCATTTAGTGGACGTAGGTATCGAATAGAAAGCTGAGATTCAAAGTCGGGCCTTATCAATCTCTATTCAGTTTGCGAGATGAGTTTTCCTCACTATACTTTCGGTTCGATAAGACAATGGTTAACCCTTTGGATTGTTATATTGTTTTATCATAGAATTATATGTTGTAGCGATCTGTTAGATTTGTATCCTGTTATATAGGATGATGTTATACTTACTGATCTGTTAGATCTATATGACTGTCTGTATATGCTAGCTAGGGTTTGATATGTTATATATCGATATGTGATGGTGTCTTGGGTTGAAACGGTCCTGCTGTGTGCTAAAGGCCAAGAGACCCAGGGCAGACCGGATAAAATGCAGGCCAAATGGGCATACCAGTCAGGCCGAAGACCCGGAGAATTGTCCAGATAGGCTAAAGACCTGTTGAGGAAGTTTAGTCATGCTGAAAGTTCTGTGAGCGGTCCAGATAGTCTTTAGGCCTGCGAGTCGATCTAGTAAAACTGAAGGCTCTCATGTATGTTGTTTGCTGTTATTATTATGATTATGTGTTCTGTTGGTACTTTGGGGGAACTTACTAAGCATTGGCTTATAGTTTTGGGTTATGTTTCAGGTACTTCATAGGATTATGGAAAGGCACGTGACCATACACATCCTCATGTTTTGGGCTTATGATTTGGGAAACTCTGATATTGCACATATTTGAAAACTATATTGTCAACAGTTTATGATCTTAGGTTGGTTTTTAGAAGTTTAAAATTTTCATGATTTTTATGGATGTTACAAGTTGGTATTTGAGCCAGGTTTGAGTGAATTGGAGGAACACTCATGTGAATCCAGTCTCAAACTATGGAAATGATTTTATAAATGATTTTTTATGTAAAATTTTTAATAATCTAGGAGGAGATGATGTGTACGATCAGCTGGAGCCAGTAAGTAGAACCAAAATTACCACAATATTATTTGATATTGCAATATGTTAAAATAGCATGCTAGAGATAGGCTAGGGATCTTCAGGAATATCATGATAAATTTGCTTGATTACATGATGTCTGATAGCCTATGATTATTCTTTATATGAAATTGACATCATTACTTTACTTGTTTAGTGTATGCATCATAGCTATACATAACTAAAATTTTATAGCCAGAGAATGTTTGATTTGGCCTTATTTCATGTTCTTGTCTGATAAAGGACTTAGGGAAGGATCAGATATTCAAATTTCTATAGGGTCCAATGTTATGTATGATTAGGATACACGAGCGATGCAAAGTTGGTGGAAGTTTCATGGATGAGTTATATGGGGTCAATCGGGCAGTTTCGTGATGTTTAGCATTCCTCTAGGGAGTGAGGACTAAGAGTATGCGTATGTAAGTATGTATTGTTAGGGTGTTGTGATGATCCTCTTGGACAAATACAGGTAGGTGTGGAAGGTAGTGTGGGCCCATACTATTGAAAGCCCATGACCCGTACATGTAACAAGGAAGTCACAACCCCTAGAGATTTGTTGGGAATTGGTTTCCCCTAATATGATATGTGTGTTATCTGATATATCCCTAGTTTATTTTCAATATGCTCATGACGTGACGCTTTGGGATAGGATCGAGGTCAGGATCAGGAGCTGGCAGCAAGGGTGAGCCAACAGTGACAAAGGATTGTATCGGAGAGATTCTCCACAAGGAGGTGGTTACCATTGTCAGGGGATAGATTCTAGAGCTATTTATGTATATCAAGACCACAACGATGGAGTTCTTTAATGACAGATATGTTGCTTTGTCTTAGACTGTTGCTGCTGCAACCACCAGAGTCGTTGCAGTTGCAGGAATTGGTGTTGGACGTGTTTTTTAGTATCGGTACTTCGCCAATATGAAGCCCCAGACTTTTGATCAATTTCAGGACCCAATAATAGCTATGAGGTGGCTATCTAATGTTTAGGGTTGCTTTTCACATACTCTTGCCCAACTGAATAGAAGGTCAGGTGCACTCTAAACCTTCTGAGGTCCGGAGTGAAGGATTGGTGGAGACTTGTTATGGGGTCACATTCTTCTAAGCAGAGAGTTGTTTTATCCTAGGAGCAGTTCTTAGAGATGTTCTGTACCAGATATGTGCCACAGGTGAAGCGTGAGAGGTTAGCGTATGAGATTTTAGACCTGAGGTAGGGGACTGAGTCGGTAACAGAGATCACCATGAAGTTCATAGAGGGCCATGTTTTGTACTGAGTTAGCTTATGAGTAGTCGCATATGACCCGTTACTTAAGCATTCTCAACACAGATATCAAACAGTTTGTTTCCACCCAGTGTTATAATACTTTGTTGGCGATGCATGAAGCCTCCTGGCGGCGTGAGATTGAGATAGAGTTATAGACGAAGGAGCAAAGACCAGCCCTGGCACAGTCGCAACCAGTGCCGAAGCGGTTCAAGGCTTCTGATTCTAGATCTGGAGGGTAGAGGGGCCGCACTTTTAACAAGTGAAGCAAGGTTCATGAGGGGGCTTGTCGACCAGGAATTATGTGCAATAAATGTGGCAATGAGGTTATCCATGTGAAAGTTAACTATCGTCAGCTGCCCCCAGCTCTGAGTACCAGGATCCAGTATCATTGTGACCAGGTTATCCATGTGAAAATCAACTATCCATTGCTCACCGCCAAGCCGGTGCAGGCCCCGATGTCTTCCACCCTTAAGGATCACCGATGGGCGCTAGGGGAGGGTGGAGCCCCCGAGGGGTCGAGGTCACACTTTTCAACTCACTGCCGATGAGGCTAGAGTAAAACCAGATCTTCTTACTGGTATATACCTACTCATTATTTTGTTAATTATGTTTTGTGTTATGCTTATATATATATATATATATATATATATATATATATATATATATATATATATATATATATATATATATATATATATATATATATATATATATATGCCTTTGATTGGTACGTTCCTAGTGAACTCTTTGCCTGCTCTTGTGTTGTTTGACTCAGGTGTGAGTCGGTCGTTTGTATCCTGATCTTTTAGTATGGAGTTTGATATGCCCATTGGGGAGTTAGAGTGTCCGTTGCGGGTGTCTATCGCCAACGAACACGTGATTTCTGCATCTGAGGTATTTCTGGGATGTGTACTAGAGATCTTTGGGGTTCCTTACCCGATTGATTTGATTCTGATTCCCATGGGAGATATTTGCATGATAGTGGGTATGGACAAGCTGAGCAGGTTTTGAGCAATTATTCATTGTTTGGTCCAGCGAGTGGTAGTTCGAACCCGAAGTGGGGGAGAACTAGTTATCTATGGAGAGGGCACCAGTATGGGTTCAGGGTTATGGGATAGACTGAAGTGGTCCTTAAGACCATTGTAAAGAATAAAATTTATATGATTGAATAGATTCAAACAAGTAAAAGAATCAAAACATGGAAAGAAGATCAAAGTTGTGTCGAATGATTAATATGCACAACCTTAGAAGAGCTCTACGAAGAACTACTACTGTAAAGGATGTGTAGAGTTTACAACTTAGACGATTACAAGATACGGTACATGCATAAACTTTTAGTAGCAAAACCCTAATGATAAATAAACTAGTGTGGAGGCCCAACCCGCTATACAAAACAATGACTAATTAATAAAACAATTGATTCAATCCATATGACCCAACAATCACCCCTTTACGTTAACTAAGGTAGGAGTCTCTTCATGGTTGTGTTCGTTTCTGTGTCTTGAAGAGCTTGGGCATAATACTGAAGAGAGTAATGCAAATTTCTATATATCATCTGAGTATACCCGAATAGCAGTTCTTCATAACATCATCATTTCCTATGCAATTGTCTGTTATTTCCGGAATGTAGTTCAAGCAAGTAGTGTAAAATAAGTGTTTATCAGGCAAAGCATAAAGACATTTCTGGATGTCTCCTCTTTCTTTCATTCCCCACTGGAACATCACACTCTAGTTTTCCTTTTCAATTCTTTCGAGCTTCATCTTCTCAATGTCTTTCACAGAAGATTTAGGAAGGACTGTTGGTTTCTTTCGCAACACCGAGGGTATTTCAACATCCATCTTTGCTACCTCGTGGGTGTACGAAACAAGCATCCTCTTGATATGATCAACAACCGATTCATACTTCTTTTCTTCTTTCATCAAGAGGTATATGAGCATGATCCAGTCGTATGGATTTAAACATGGCAAGTCTGCGAGAGAGAATTCAAACATAAAATTCACAGAACCTCAAGTTGTTTTAAATTTGACATTGATAAACTCTATGTTTGTATTGGCCCAATAACCTTGATTGTAGTTATTTTCTGTGAACTCCAGGTCTGGTATTGCGGGTCACCGTGCTTCATATAAAATCCAATTAATAACTATTTAACTCCCTCATCCGAATCCGAAGCATTCACAAATACCTCAAAGTTACGAAAAAACTATTTCGTAGAAATGCGGAAATCCAGTTGCGAATCCACAGTGTTTTCTAGCTCAAAAGAAGTACCTGACTCTAAGCAGTGAATTTATTGGATTTTCAATCACTTCTATTAAAATTTTCTCTATAGACCAAGGAGGAAAGAATAGCTTTCTAGTTTCAAGAGTGATTTGAGCATCACGAAGCACTTTCTCCTTTTCTTCTGCTTCCATTGCAATTCACATATTTTCATCAAGAACAACATCTCGTGCTTTGCGCTCGAGCTTTAAATTTTCATCCTCTTCTTCCTCTTCATCATCATCTGTCACTTTCTCCTTTCCTTTTGAACCCGCAGCTAGATTAACCTTCAGTTCGGTTGTCTTGCACGGTTGTTCAGTTTCCTTATCACCATCAGATGGCTTTTTGACACCAAAAGATTTGTCTTGTTCTCCGCTTTGTTTTGGAGGTATGACTGACTCCGAAACTCCCTCATTCCTGTTCAACATTACGAACACATGCCTAACTTTTTCATCCAAATGCTTTCCAATAGTGATCGTGATTAAATATCACGAGTCTCAATTATATCCAAAAGTAAGGAATTTTGGTCAGATATGCAACTCTTCATCGCAACCTTTTCAGATAAGAGTTCTTCAATATGCATGTTAGCATGGTTGAGCTTGACAGATAAAACCTTCCCCTTGTCTATTTTGAGGGCGAGCTCATCCATGATTTTATTTTCTATAGCCAAGTCTTCACGGAGTTTGTCTATCTTGGAAGAGAGGGAGGTTTGAAACTCTATATTGGCTAACTGAATGCTGGTGTGAACTTGTTCAAGAGCATCCTTCTCAATTCAAAGGGTAGATCCAAGACTAGTGATAATTGATGGGTTATTAGCATTACAACATTCATATGTGCACATGCAACCCTAATTTCTTTGAATCTAAGTTTTTCTCTATTGAACATTCAAATATGAGCACCAAAGCAAAAGCCCTATGGATTAGCATACAATTTTCGAAATCATGTATAAAACTAGGGTTAGATCATTACCTCACTTGTTATGTAGTAATAACATGAACCACCTTGACTCTTGAAAGTTTAGTGGCCTAAGTGTTGCACCTCTAATGGAGTCACAAACACTCAACACAACAAGGATTACAATGAGAGACAAGAAATCAATCAGGGTTTCTATCTAGAATGCATTAATCGATTTTCTCATGTATTTGGGGGGGGGGGGTATATAGTTGTGGGTTGCTAGGGTTTTCAGTTATAAATTGTAATTCCTTTCTTAGGGCTTAAGAAGCCCACGGATCTCCTACTCTAGAGGCCTTGGACGAATGATTTGCAACTACCAATGAGTTGCAAAATAGTCCCTCCATTATTAATCAGTTCCTTTTAGTTCCAAAATTAAATCAAATTAATTTCTGATTAATTACTAATTAATAATATGATTTCCAAATAATATATTAACCATATAATATATTAATAAAATCATTATCGGTACTAATTTATTATTCATATAACAAATCCTACTCTCTTTCTCCACTAGTCATCCTGTCAAGTTGTATTAGTGAAGGCAACTCAAAAGAACCATGCTACAAATCAAATCAAGTACATACCAAATATAGTTATGGGCTTAGACACCTAAATCCAACAGTCTCCCACTTGGATAAGTCTAAAAACTATTATTGCAAGTATGACTTCAGAATTTGACTAGCAATCATAGCTTTCAAAAGCCTTTGTCAAACTCTAATCTTATCAGCAATGCATCCTTTGGATAAGTGATCAAATATTCCTCCATTCTACAAGATATTGTATGGACATTATACATGGATTATAATCATTCTCTATGTCCATGTGTTGTTTCTCGACTTCTGATTTATGACGACTGAATCAAACTACAATTAAACACATTAACTTAGTATAGGCTTGGCCAAGTGCTTAGGGTATCATCACTAAATCATCGAGGGGCCCACAGATTTCTCTTTTATCCCATTAAGAGTAAAAGGAACGGATAAAATTCGACTCATAAGCTTGTACTATTTACTCATCAAATCATACACAACAATACGTTTTATAACATCAAGTTATCGATGTGTTTATGTATTATAAATGTGCAACCGACTTGTAAACAACAATTATATGTCTCCGTTTCAAGAATATAATATATTATCGTCTCACAATCAGTCGTGATAAAATCCATGAAGTGATTCAGATGAGCGTGGGTTTAATCCAATACTTAAATTTTTATTTTAGGAGTACTCATGAACACTGCATCAAATATTTGCTATGTCTAAGCACTTAGACAATCTAAATTCGGATTCATGACAGTCTTACATCATTACTTACTTCCAAAGTATGATCGATTGTAGATGTTTTGAATAATCTTATTATCCAGGAAGTAAAACATGCAAAGTGAAACAATAATAACCTAATCTAATATGGTCTCAAACTTTTGAATATAAATAAAACACTTATTAGTTAATCACCATATTAATTAGACCTTATTCATTGTTTACTGTTTCGACTAATCAACTCAATACTTGAACTAAAACAATAGTCATCCCATGCTCCAAGCATGCACACTATGTTTATCTATGGTCCTTTTTTGTGAAATAGATCAATTAAACACATTTCCAATGATGCTCATTTCACAATTCCAAATCCTTATCACAAGTTTAACAATATATACCAAATTCTTGACACTACTAGAATCTGGTTATATCTTACACGCAATGTTCCTTTTGTAATGTCAAGGAACCAAAGTCACATAGACGATTCTAATGATATTATAAAGCATTCCATTGAAATTGTTCTAGAAAAGCTCTATGGAGATGAACTCTCACATTCAAAGTACATTCCTTGAACATCCTTCTTGCTTAAAAGTTTCTAACCTACAACATGGATTCTTAATATCCAACTCTCATTATGGAAAAATTTCCATAATTGTCATATGACTATCTATTCTAAATAGAATCCTATACATTCAGAATTATATCAATATGGTCCAAATTAGAATAGGCAAATACTATAGCATATGCAATCGATCCTATACCCGAAGAATATGGGATACGATTCATCATGTCTTACATAAAGACATGATACTAGTCTAGTCTCTTGCTACAATCTTTCCATAAGTTGAATTTTCTATGTTGAAACATTTCAGTATGACATTCATATGCGTTCATGACTAAGTTCTATTAAAATTTCAATCTAAAACTTTTAGATTTGAAATGAAATCTGAATGCCCTCGCCCTTAAGCCTTACTATAGATAAATAATTTCCAAATTCTACGACTTTGCCAATTTAGAACATTGTTTCCTATAAATCAACATTGCTAACTTGCAACACCTTTCATAATAATCATGCTCCCAATAGCATACCAATTATGTTCTTACCAACATAACAATTATGCTCTCACTAGCTTTGACATGTACTCAGAAATCAGCTAGCCTTCTAGAAATCAATACCTATTGAATTTCTTACCAAAGTTCAGATTTCTAATACGTGGTGCTTTGATAAGTCTTTTCCTAGACTTCTCAAGCTTATACACCTTTCAATAGACAGCTTACATATGTGTCTAAAACTTTTGAGAACTTATAGTGATAAGTCCTAAATATTCAAACTATTTTCCATTTCTCACAATTCGAACTATGAAAATGGATGTCGTAATCATACTCGAATTTTAGAACTCAATTATCATAATAGCTAACTCTAATCCTTTAAAATCTACAAGTGAAAGTGTTTTCTCACAATCATTTTCATGAAGTAGAGAAAAACCTCTTGTCACTTAGATTTTATGGTGTTTTTTTTTCCTTTGTGAATTTGTCATTTCTAACCACTATCATAAGACAAGGTTTATGAAAAATCCAACTCATATGGACTGAAATCGCTTATTCTTAATTTCTTGCCATCTGGCAGCACAAAGGCCTACCATTGCTTCAAAGTTATTGATCAGCTCAGCCACATTGACCAATGTACTTTCACTGATCAAGGTGCTTTGCCTTATACAATCAAATGAGAACTCATAGAACTCACATGCATAATTAACACAACTGGAATGTCATATAAACAATAATATTTCAACACGATAGGTCATCAACCTTAGGTCATTTGCTAGTGATAACTAAAAGGTTTTTTCCTGATTATTTCTTGAAATTATTCAAGATCATTTAGACTCCCACTGACCTTTTGACATATAAGATTCTCTATCAAGGAACATTCGTTGACAAACAAATACTCAAGAGTTAGTGCGGATTCTTATCATGATAACACCTCATATAATTTGTCTTAGTTGGTCTTTGTAAAACCAAAACATCACAACTACCAATTTTTTTTTAATGTGGAAGAGTAAGAAACATTTCTACTCTATATTTCATGAGGTGTTATAAACCTACTTAGTTATACGTTACTCAAGGTACAACATGGTGTAACTAGAGTATAACTCTAATACTTAGATTTTGGAATGAAGTAAGATTTATCCGTTTGATTTAACCATTTCAACATGTCACACCCCCAAACCGGAACGTCGGAAACATTCGGGGGCGGATGACGTCATGTAGAGTATCACAACAATTGTGTGACATCCCCATTTTCACGGCCAAAAAAGACCGATTTGTTTATGCTTTGTTTTTTAAAATCAGATTAATCGTTTAAAGAAAATTGTTGCGGAATTTGTCCCCAAAACAAGATATGATAAGAATTTATCAAAGCATTTCTTAAAGAAGAGTATTTTTATTATATAACAAAATCTCGGGATGTCATGTTCCGATACAGACACATAAGCATAAACAGAACTTACATTTATTTACACTAAATGATTTACGTCTCCTTTAATCTCTTACTAAAATATATCTTCGTATTGATACCTGTGATACAAAGAAAACTGAGTGGGTCAGGCTTGGGAGCCTGGTGAGCATATAGGGTTTTCAACCCACAATAAGACATTTATTATATTCAATTATCAACAATCGACCCAAATACCCATCCCCATTATCTTTTTATTTATTAAGGTTTTATCCTAAGAATCGATTATACTTTCTTCATTCATTCCTAAGGATTTGCCTAAGGAACTGGCACACAGTCCATTTGCTACCACGGTTTATACAACAGGCACTACGTCGCATAGTTACCAAGGTTCATACAATTGGCACTACGTCTCATAGTCACCACGGTTTACACAATAGGCACTACGTCTCATAGTCACCTGGGTTTACACAAAAGGCACGAAGTCACATCGTCACCAAGGTTTATCAAATAGGCACGAAGTCGCATCGTCACCAAGGTTTATCAAATAGGCACGAAGTCGCATCGTCACCAACTATTCCATCTACCCATGTTCTACCCAACATTTTTGTAGATATACATACAAACACAATTTAAATCATTTAACACCCGTATAAAAACATCGATTCCAAATCCATCTCAAATAGATAGTTAATATATAACACATAGCACGTATTTCATAGCTAATACTTTATATTTATGTATTAGAAGAAAGTACTATGCA